ACATGCCAGGAGAGATAATTTGAAGATCTGATCAGAGTGTTCAGCTTGATGGCATACTTAGTATTCTGTTTGAACTGGCTAATCACTTTGCTGATACAGCTATCCAAGTTGTAAAGATTATATTGCATTCAGGACTTCAAGTTCAGATTCCATACTGATGATCAATCTGCTAATGGATTTGCAGGCATCACAGTCTTGTTATTTTGAGTGTTGAGCCTCTTCAATTAAAGTTGAAGCTGCAATTCTTTGTGCCTCTCTTTTTGAAGTTCTAAATCAATCTTTTGACATTCAAGATCTAATCTTCTAAGTTACAATTCTTCAGAGTTGGTTGCTGGCAGTGGATTAGAGATCACCACAGACATCTTCACCTCATCTTCTGAAGGAATCAGATCAGTATATTTAATACAACATAGGCAGACTAGCCTCACTATAGTAGGAGCTATAATCAGCCTGGCTTGCTGATCAGGCGTTTTGAGAGGTTCAATATTGAAACTTTTGAACATCTCAGGGGGGGTTGATGAGCTCAGAGCCCTCTGATCATTTTCAAATCAGTCAGATTCACTGAATTGAATTGATTATAACTGTGAGTGAGTTATCATACATTTCATCATGTCATATTAATCTTCTTTTTAACAGAGTAATCTTATTCAGTGAGATTCTTGCCTATAAGCTTGATTGAGTGGATTGACGCATTCTTGTGTGATCAGTCACTGAAAAATTAGTGAGTTGCAGATTTTTTCACTCATTAAGTGAACAGATTGAACACAGAAAAAAAAAATAATAATATAAGAGTGTGTCAAATCAATCAATTGACATAAAATAAGACAATATTATATTGAATGAAGTGAGCAGTGATTAGTATACACTGTATTTGGCAAGAATTCCCTGAATTGGCAGTTATTTGCGCAAAACAGGTCTCATAACCTGTGAAGGATAGATTGCTTGATTATGTAGCGATCACTAGCTACGCGGAAGTTATATACAATGTGGATTACATAAGAAGGCGGATAGGCCTGACAGATATTTAATGCATTTTTTCTGCCCGCTTAACTAATTAATCCAGCAGCTTCCTCCGCAGGCCAATATCAATATCTCACGCATCCGCCTTGACTTATTCGAGATTGCTTCGAAAGGGTATAGAACCCGCGAAAAGCAGCCCCATTAGTTCCACGAAGAAAAGACATTTAGATAACACGAACCCATACTCCTACGCATATAGCGCCGGTATTGAACAAAAAAAAGAAAGAAACGCTCCGGATAGTTCGGAGGAATAGAAAAATTTAAAGTCGACCGGCGCAGGACTCGAACCTGCAAATCTTCCGCAAATTCTGAACTCACAACTGAATGGGTTCCATGGATGAATCCGGTAAAGGAGGAGCCGGAAACGGACGCGTTACCATTACGCCAGCCGGCCTGATTATTGAAGTCAATAAACCACTAGTGTTCCTTCATAAGTTGGGGGCCAGCTTCGGTGGATTTATGACCTACTTCATTTCGATTCTTCGTGATGGTGAATAGGTTCTGTGTAAGCCACCTTACCATGAATAGGATCGTTTATGTGCCCCTTTTCTTACAGGTGTTTTATGGTCTTGTCTAATCGTAGCCAGAGGATTAAAAGCGTACATGAGTTTCCTTCAAGGAAAACATAAATTAGTTGCTTTTGTGCTTGTGAAATATCTGAAGATTTTTGTATTCATCGCTTCCTAAATACATTTATAACTATAGAGAGAGAGTTGGGAGGAAATAAGATAAGAGCAAAAAGGAAATCTCGATGTTTTAATTCCCATGTTTAGTATGGTTAACTGCTCTTTTGGACAATATGGCCGATGCCACAACGCACTGACGCAGATACATCAAACGACTAAATATACCAAGATCTTACACCTGACTAAAATAGAATGCACTCTTAAAACGCTAAAAATGAAAACAACCAAAATCCTTGGGGCACCAGACCAAAGCTAGGCGATAACCACCTAGCCAAAAAGGTGGATTACCCATGGGAGGTAGGGGTATCAATGCAGGTTTTATATAAAAGAGGAAATGATAGGGCTGCTTAAAACTGCTGAACTAACCAAGAACAGGTCGAGGTAAATCGGGAAAAAGAGTCAAGTATTCAAGAGATTCTTTGTTCACTTAAGATCAGGGCAAGCCGCTTATAGTCCGCGAGAAGTTCAGGAATCTCGCTTATTTTAAGTTCCTCGGGATCTATTTCCAAGAACTTCTTGATTGGTGGCTTAATGGCAGCTGGATGGGAGTTGGCGTTGACTTTTTGCGGAATGGGAGTGTTGGAACGACTGGATATTGGTTCTGATGTTTTCGGCTTGTCTGCGGATACGAGGCTCTGGGTTGGATCTGGTGGGATACGGCCTAGCCCGCGGATCATTCCAGGAATATGATTGAGAGGGTTTAAAGTATTACTGAAGCTCTTCATTGCGCCGAATGGAGGATTCGGGGTTGATTGAGAGAAAATAGAACCTGTAGAAGCCGGACTGGGTGTGGATGTCTCTCCAGTTGTGGGAATAGCCTTTAGCCCACCTGCAGCGTTCCCTAAACTATCTCCACCAGTCTGTCTGGCTGTTTTTCGTCCACTGATTAAGCCTAGGAGTCTATCTTCAGGCCTTGTGTGCAGTTCACTTTTGCTACTTTGATTAGGTTGATCGCCGGATGAACTATCTCCTTTGAGATCGTTCCCATCGCCTAGCATTGGTGAAGGACTGACTAACCGTCGAGCGTCATCAAGAGTTTTCGGCAGAATTGTAGAAATGCCGTTTGGCTCCCCGCTTTGTTTAATTTGAACTTCCCTTAGCCGACCGAAAAGGAAGTTAAAGCTATTGTCGAGAGTGCTGCTGATATTTTTAAATCCTTGATCTGCAGTAGTTCGGACAGCATCGTTAGCAGCACCAAAAGCTTTGGCGGAGGGTTGCAGGAGGTTAGTTAAAAAAGGTGAGTGATCCGACATGCGAGACTTTTGTGAACTCTCACTTGTAGTAATCTGACCCGATAAATCTGGTTTTCCTGTCTTAGAAGACATTGGAGTGCTCATTGAAGACCCTGGATTTGTTGAAAAATCCTGAGTTATTTGCGGATCAGGCCGCATTGTGACGGGAACGGAGGCACCTGTGGAAGGCTTCGCCATTCCTTCTTGTGCCTGATTTGCTGGTAGGCCATTTAAATCCACATTCTCTAGGAAACTAATGGCTGCTTCCAGATTAGTAAGACAGTATGCTGCCTCACCATCGAGCCTACTTGTCGCTCTAAAACGTTGAATAAACAACAGATTACTGATGATGTTGATGCCTTCTGCCGGGGTACTTATTAGGGTGTATATTAAAGTTGGCAAGATCTCATCCGCAGAAGAGGAAGAGGGAAGAACTTTTGTCAACGTATCGACGATTGCCTTGTGGGCAGCAGTCAGATGCTGAAGTTTGCCTAGTGGGAACTTTTCATCGTTCATCCTCATCAAACTCTCTCTAGCAGAGCTAAGGTAATCTGAAACCTCAGTGCCTTTAGCTCCATTCAGATCCCACATCTCGATTCCCAAGTCCTTTAGCTCAATACCAATCAAAGCGAGAGCTGCTGTTTTTGAGCGGAGTTTCTCATCCCTGACTTCATCCAAAGTAGTTTTGTGACGCCATATTTTCTCGTACACAGCCTCACAAGCACGGCGCTCCACCGCTTCCTCGAGGGCATGCCGTTTGAATTGGAGCATCTTTCGGGCCCTCCTCTTTTCCGCCACTTCCTCCGCAGTCAACATTTGTTGATTAGTAGTGGGCTTTTCAGAACCCCTTTGGTCATCTTTATTTCCAGATGCGTTAATCAGTGGATCGCGTGTGGATTTCGCAGAAATTGTAGATTGGGAAGAAGAAACAGGCGGCGGGCGATTCAAGCGAGAGGAAAGAGTTGAAATGTGGGTTGATATATGGGCACCGGCACGCACGTAGAAATCTTGAAAAAGATCCGAAAGCTTGTCTATCGACGGTGGAGTGGCATATACTTTGGCGCTGAGAGATGTGATAAATCTGGGATATGGCCGTCAACGGCGTGGCCAAATTTGGAAATTGGAGGCATATTACCTACCTGTCGGTCAAACTAGCTAGCTCTATGGGAAGCTCAAATTGATCTACCATGTTTTGCAATTGTGAAGCAGTGGGGTCGGACTTGTCTACTGGTGATCCAACCTCCAAATCTAAAGAGTCCCTTTTGTGGAAAATATCGGCTTCCTCCTCAATGGGCCCAGGTTCCAAACTTAAAAGGGGAGAATTCACCTGAGCAAATTCTGGCGTCATGATACCGTGGACTGTTTTTGCACGGTTCCGGGGAAGCGTGCTGGGTAGAGTGTCTTCCATGCGAGAAAATGATTTCGATCCCTGAGGGGCATTTGGACGTGATGCAGAATCAGGGAACATTTTGACAGGCTATGCTATGAGCTGGCAAATATCCAAGGTCTGTATTCAAATGAAAATGGACATCCCAATAATCGTCACAAACATCAGCATATCATACCAAGAGACCCTACTCAAACGGGGATGGACTGATAGGCGATTGAGGGTGATGAAATGGAGCACAGCACAGCTGTCATTAAGCCATTTCATGAGGGTGAACTGCTCAAACGGCTGACGCTGAACGTAGCTCAAGCGAGAAGTTGTGTTATGGGTACTCTGCTATAGCGAGTGGGTGAGAGTTGTAAGAGCTTTGTTGATTGAATGACGGTTGGTCAAACTGCTGTAGGTCACGGGGTAACTAGATGGATCATCTGACTGCCATGCGCTGCTGGTCTGTGTCGCCTTCCGCATATCTCCCGGTTATATTTATGATATTTCACCAACGCTGGCCCAACGTCATCATCCTCTAACTATTAGGCTGTCATACATCAGCAGTGGTCATATTCCTACTCTACATCATTCTACATCAGCTAACTTTATCGAACAACTCTCTCTATGGCTCTCAGAATAGTAGTTAGTCAGTAAGACTGTTTACTGTTTATATGCTGCATCTTCAACATGCAGCCTTTCAGATGGAAGAGAAAGAAACGATCATTCGGTTCGATACTGGGCCGTGATGTCCTGGTTTCCCTGCTAGCTCTATGCCCAACTCCGAGTGTTGCTTCAGTTCAGAGCCCCCTTATAGATCCTCAGATTCCACTCCCAGGCTCACAGCCTGTTCAAGGAAGTCATGAATTTGTGAGCATTTTTTAATAGCTATCCCTTCCTCTACCTTACAATAGATTTGCTAATCTTGCCTGTGTCTGTTTCCAAGACGCTACGACATATCTTCCATCACGGAACCTACCGAGACCCTCTCCTCCATAAACGACTTGATATCCAACCCGATACTGCATTATGGGTTGCGTCGGAGGATGGCCAGGGACGGGAACCTGTTCCTCGTCTGCGTGCTTCCTCAAGATCTGTGAATATCCAACGCCTTGCTGACCGTCGGGTCTCCGTTATTGAAGACCACCTTATGACTGCGAGAATGACACGTTCTCCGGCAACATTGTCTTCCGACTCCTGGACTTTGGACGAGGTGGATGCTCCTGACGTTACCGATAAGGAGACCATTCTTTCCTTAGCCCGAATGACCGCCAACGCATATATCATGTTGCCGGGAACAGAGCAATGGGCTGATGTCACCTGGCGCTTCAACCACTCCCAGAGTTTTGGATGGGAAAGTGATGGATTGAGGGGCCACATTTACGCCGATAAGTCGAATTCTACAGTTGTTGTGGCGCTGAAGGGAACGTCTGCAGCACTCTTCGATGGCGAGGAGACAACAACAAATGACAAGCTTAATGACAACCTCTTTTTCAGCTGTTGTTGTGCCCAAGGTGGACATTATTTTTGGCGCCAGGTCTGTGACTGCTATTCATCAACATACACCTGTAATGCAACTTGCGTACGAAACGCACTGGTTGCAGAAAACCGCTATTATCGGGCAGCACTCGATCTTTACGCCAACGTGACTGCAATCTATCCTAACTCTGGCGTCTGGGTTGCGGGCCATTCTCTAGGTGGTTCAGTTTCCAGTCTGCTTGGTATGACATATGGGCTGCCAGTGGTCACCTTCGAAGCTGTTCCGGAGGCTCTACCAGCTTCACGTCTTGGATTGCCTGTTCCGCCAGGAACTAATCCTCATTCATCTCAGTCGCGGAATTTCACTGGCTCTTACCATTTTGGACATACTGCTGATCCCATTTTTATGGGGACATGTAACGGGGCAACATCAGTGTGTACACTCGGGGGCTATGCCTTAGAGTCATCTTGTCATACTGGCCAGCTGTGTACTTACGACACCGTGGAGGATTTAGGCTGGAGGGTTGGAATTGGAACTCATCGAATACGTGCTGTCATTGCGGATGTTCTTGAGAAGTATGATACTGTGCCTGAATGCGCCCCGTTCCCGGAATGTGTGGACTGTAACAACTGGAAATTTTTCGAAAGCAATGGGACAGAATCTACAACAAGTTCAGCACCAACTACCACGGTAACTAAAACAAGCACTTCGACTTGCCAGACGCCTGGATGGTGGGGATGTTTGGATCCGACAACTACTGCAACAGCAACAGCGACGATAACAAAGACATCGTCGGCAGGTACCACCTCGACATCGACATCCACCTGTAAAACGCCTGGGTGGTTTGGCTGTAAGGATCTCACTACGACTAATGTCATTACACCATCACCTGCCCCTACTATCACGCCGACAGCCTCTCCAACAACGACTGCTTCACACACTTCATCCTGCCAATCACCAGGGTGGTTCGGATGTAAAGATCCAACGAGCACGTCATCCCTTTCCACATCAAGGCCTTCCCCAACGGCTACGAGTTCCTGCGAGACTCCGGGCTGGTTTTGGGGCTGCCATGATCCAACGACGACGATGGCTACAACCCACCAGATCACATCACCACCGACAAGACCAAGCGTGACTTCTATACCACCTTCTTATACCTGTGCGTCTTCCAGGTTCTTTGGATTGATCTGTCTCGATCCTACCCTACCTGATTAATTGCCCTACTCATCTCCTACCCGTGGCCCTCCTGATGGCTGGCATTGCGTAAGGAGGGATGGGTTTTTCAGATGCCGGGAATGGAGTCGTGGGCGCTGGGATCATACCTAAATTTATCTTTGATGATATGAATTTTCCATACTGATCACAATTTATTTTGCTAACATGCTTTCCCATTTTTATTATTATTATTATTATTATTATTATTATTATTATTTTTTATTTATTTATTTTTTTATTATTATTTTTATTATTATTTTTTAGGGATTTCAGTTTGATTGCAGAGGCTGTATGCAATAACTGTTGATTTACATCTTTGGCAGGTGGGCCAAGGCAGACATGACAGATTTTGTTTATTTTGTTGACTTGTATCTGGTCATTATCATGAAAATATGCATTGGGAGTTTGGAGAGCTTGGATAAGCTTGATTTCTTTTTAGAATTGGGAAGGGATTACACCTCGACAGATATCATCATATACAGTTTTTTTTTCGGGACTAATACCATATATTAGAATATCCTCTACGGAGCTATATTTGCTTCATTAATCGCCATTGGTTCACTTAACACATCTTTAAAATTAGTTGTATTTAGTTTGGTAGTTAATCATTTTAACATGATAACTCCGATCCAGGCGGACTGAAGATGAGAAGAGCGATGCATGTCGGTGATGTTTGTTGTTAGAAGGATAAAATTCTCCTCGCCGTTTAAAAAAAAAAAAAAAGGCCAAGTTTCGAAGGAACTGCTGAAAGGATATTAAATCTCGGCTAGAATCACCCTTCAGTGTGGTTTATGCTTTTAAACCAACGACAAAACCCATCAAAACTACATACACTAGTCATTTCTCACTCACACATCTCTATATGCTCTTGAAGGCAGTGATTTTATCATGTTCCTCAGACCCTTATAAACCCCTAATCCTAATATCCTAACCCACCTGACCCTGGTGTTGAGGGTTGAATACGTATTTGTGTGTGCAAAGGGTACGTGGACTGTGTTTAATAATGGTTTTAAAAAAGTGGGCCTTATTTTTAAACCGCGTTCAACTTCCTTAAAAACCACGCTCAAATGTAAAACCCCTGCCTGAAAGATAAACCCCCCCCCCCCCCCCCCCAAAAAAAAAAAAAAAAAAAAAAAAAAAATTATATATATATTTAATAAAATAACATGGTCTAGACACGGAATACCATGTACACGTACACAACCTCCCGCAGATGATCCTACTCGTGGATAACTAGCTTTCCAGCCAAGTAGAAACTCCCTAGCCAATACCTAGGTATAGATAGTCTGGCACTGACGCATTTGATCAGGGTCTGTTATGCACTAACAGAAATTTACCGAACAATTGTCCAATCATAATTGGCTGTGGAGCGTGTATTGTCGTGGCGGCGTTGCGACCAGTTGACGGGAACTCTTGGTTCCAATTAACGGTCCATGGAGTGGATCATCCTCTAGAGCTTTATTTTCTGCAGTGCAAGACTTCTAGAGGCGAGGTTTGGGTTGTTGCACGGAGCAAGCCCAGGGAAATCCCCCTCGACTGGCCCCTCATCCAACGTCAGCGATTGCCACTGATTGGATCCTTCAAGTTAGGTTGTTCGGGGCTTTCTGGAGCCCAGTCCAGCTCGCCAGAGTCACAATTGAGCTTAGTCGCATTCCTGCGGCAAAGCAGTTAGAGCTGGGAGAGTTGCAGAGTTGGGAGAGTTGGGATAGCTTTTCCCACGAGCCATAGTTCGGTGATAGCCCGATCCGAGTCAGCGGTGGCAGAGTTGGAGCCCTGACTCTCCTTGGAGGCGCCAATTTTTCCATGTGAGTTTCGTAGTTTGGGGCTATCCAGGTGCTAGTCGACGCCATTCCAGAGTGGGAAGTGGATTGGTAAGCACTATGGGGATAACTAATTTGTTAGTCAACAGGTTATTGAAAGCTTGAAGATGGCATAGTCCCCTTCAAGAACATCGATAGGGGCATTGATCAGCATCCAAGAATCCAGCATTGCTGATTCACCATTTGTCTGTACATGCCTCTGTGAAACCCAGTCATTTATTTATCTCGGAACGAGGTCCAGGGTGCGGGCTAGTTAGGGATTTTCCGACGGTTAACTGAGCTAATTGTATGTGACAACCCAGATGAGTAATTGTTGTGGTTCTGGTTGGTCCCAGCCCATTTAAATGAGGAATCCAAGAGCTGTTTTGGGTTTTCGTGTAGTCGATCATTGCATATTGGACTGATGCCTGTAAAAGGTTAAATAAATGCCGCTCCGTCTCTGGACATTTTGATATGAGTAACTATGATTTAATATTACTTATCAACCTCCTCCTTCCTTTCCCCTTCTCACTGGGTCTCTCCTATGGTTACTTTTCCCCGTCTAACCCACGGGTTCATCACGCATTTTGATTCCCTTGATGGCCGAAGCCGAGTTAACCCACTTCAGGATCGCCCCGCCTGCCCTGGTGTCATCCTGGCACACTGTCGAACGCTAAGACTGGCCTGACGTAACTCTTGAATTTCCTGCAATATTAAATCATTGCTCTTTTGCGACCAAACTGCCTCCTATTGCGGGTTCTCGTTCTCTTCTTTCGGTGTCGGGAGCTTTGTCCCACGATTGTTCGAGTAGATTAAAACCTCTGTGGGAGCGGCAGGAGACGCGAGCCAAAAACTCATGGCGGGTTGGGATTCATATACATATGTTTGAATAACTTCGTTTTTCTTTTTCTTTTTCTTTTTCTTTCATTTTTTTTTTTTTTTTTTTTTTTGATCTCTCTGCGCTTTTGTGATTCTATAGTGTTCAACTCTTGCATCGGGCTCGCCTATATCTTGACATACAGAAACATAAAGTATGTCAAAACGTGGAAATATGTGTCTGACCTTGAGAAATTGGTCTACTGTAGCGTTTGCCCATTGAACCAAACTTCGCGTACAGATGGTGAGTATACAATTGAAACATTGCATTCCACTTTCATATTCTCAAATCTTTTACATTCTTTTCATTTTTTCTTCTGCTTGATTAGATGTCATAGACCCAAACCAGAGACCAGTTGTACTCGATTTGTTGTTTGCTTGCTAACATCGTGGCTAGATTGGACCTTAAGGGTCGCAGTGTGAAAATCCAACCCGCGTCGCCATCACAAGTGCAAAATTTTGATACAGCTATCGATTTCAGCCAAAGAAAAAATAAATCAATAAATAAAAAGGATTTAGAGTGACGAACGTAATAGTCTCTCACGGGAAAGATTCGGCTTGCCTCGTTTATCTGCTCGAGAGCATTGGGAGGCTGTATCATTGCATTTCTCGAGTTGTCGAGGAAACTGCCTATTTTTGCTATATGAAAACCCGGAGGAGTTATACTTTACTACTTCTATTCTGTAATTTCTGATAGCAAATATGGAAATTACTTTTATATCTATTCTTGGTAGGTTCCCGTTTTTGAATTTTATCAAGATACTTCTTGATGTTAATATGGAAATGTGTAAATCTAACGTTTAAACCAGATTTGACGCCAGACGCTCGTATCAAGTATACCTCTGGTGCAATTGAGGATATACTCGCTCACAACCCGAGTGAGGTAGTCAACAAATCTCTGTGGGATTTCCTTCATCCGGAGGAGCTCGATTTCGCGAAACAGATCCATTCGCGGAGCGTCAGACATGACATGGCCGCTGGGTTGAACTACTTCCATCTCAAACATAAATTTGGCTACTGGGTTCGGGTTGAATGTGTATTCACAGTGGTGTACGATATCCTAGTAGCCAGCACTGGCATTTACCAAAGAGGGCCTAAAAGCGAGCGTGAGTGGATAAGCTGGCACCCCTTACATCCCTTCCCGGTTTGCTGTTGAAATGTGCCTTAAACGAGACTTGAATCTAACGACAAGAAAAAAAAGAGAGAGCGGCTGACGCCCCCGTTGTCAGACGGTTATTCACCTCATCGCCGCAGAATCCTCGATATGATATGCTCTCATGTATTTCAAGGAAATTCAATTCATTCCCTACGAGTCTTTCTCACGAACCACGCGCAGTTCTATTCCTGAACCGCTTTACTCGTTCCTCGAACATATTATTTGCTACTTCCAGTGTAGAACGCGTTCTTGGTATCAGGCCTCCGGACCTTGTCCCCGAAAGCTTCTATCATTGTATGGAGGAGTGTTGTTTGGAGGAGGCGGTTCGGTGTATTGAAAGTGCGAAATCCAATGATACTACTACATATCTTCGGTTCTGGTTCCGGAATCCTTTATTGGACGAGAATGACATGGATGACGATACTGTTTTTAGCAGTGAAGAAGAAGAAAGAAGTGAAGATGAAATGGAGAACGATCTTTTAGAGGCTGAAATCTCTAGAGCAGCCGCTACACATGCCGACCAGCATCTGGCAAACAGTCATACCGTGAACAAGAGTCATCTCACTACGGATTTACATGGCGACGTATCAGCATCAACGTCCTATTCCCAAACACCAGCCAGTAACTACTCTGGGTCACGAATACAAGTTGAGGCAGTAGTATCCTGTTCCTCTGATGGTCTTGTCGTTGTTCTGCGCCGTGCCCGACCACCTATTCCTCACTCCATTGAAACGCAAGGGCATCCGGTATATTCAAATGGCCTCTTAGCTTCTTCGTGGGGAACCAACTATGCAGCATCGGTGCCACAGAGTGACTCTGCCATGGAAGTTTCCCCAAGGCCGCAAGCCTCCGGCGGGCCTGAAGAAAGCGAGTTGGTGAATACGATTCGTGACGTTGCAGCCCTTGCCTGGGCGGTTGTTGGCGCTAATAGTTCTTTCAAATTGAATGGACGAGGGTCGCCAACCGGTGAATCTAAGCCTCCTGATTGATCTGTGTGTTCCGAGGAATCTACTGGATGACTATTCAGCTGGGTGGGGTTTCGGGGCCTGGATGAGTCCCGGTATATTGGCTAATTGAGAAATAACGATTCAATCCGCTTACCCAGCCGATATTTGCGTCAATTCGCGGTGCTGCGGAGCCCCTCGAATTAAACCACTCTTTCTATTACCGATCTCGATGCCTTGAAAAAAAAGAAAAAAATTCACCCGGACGTATAGCACAAGCCCCTTAAAGACTTCAAATGATCCAGTGGTCTAAAATTGATTTAGGTTAGATACCCTGAGTTTAGGAAGCCTGTCTGATGTCAGCTGGAGGATTCTGAAATTTGAAGTGAAATTTGTACAGCGTTTGTTGTCTCTTAATAATATTTGATAACATCTGCAGCATCATTTCACGTTCACATATTGAACAGCCCTTACAACAACCATGCTCGCCTTCCCCTGGCGTAGATAGCATTCTACCCACCGTGGTGCCCGCAATTTTTTTTTCCCTCTTTGACGTCATCTTGCACAATTTCAGTTATAATACCTTATATAATATGAAATATTCCTCTGATATACCTCGATCGAAAGCTCCGCTTCCAGGATGTGGTTTCTAATGGCATTAAATGTTTCTTGGTAACTAGCCCGTGGTAGGTGAGCACTGGTACGGATAGCTCGCTCTCAACAAACATTCATTTCAACTAGCGCAAAAGCCAATTATGGCGATTGCTCGACGGATCGGAATGACGGAACGAAGGAATGAATCATCACGACAAATACATGCACGCATTACTCTTGCGATGGGCTTAAAATGTCCAACTCCGTGCTGAAAACGTTACGGCATGTAGCTTGCAGACGACTAACATACATTGCTTAAAGCTCATGTACGCGGCTTTTACCTACCACCAAGGCCAGAAAAATAAAAAATATAAAAAATGAAGAGGGTAAGAAAGGATTTATTTTTAGTTTTCATTTTCATTTCTTCACTTCTCCTTCCAGTCGCCCTCGTATATGGCGTTCTAAACTTGGAACAACTTTGAGAAGTTGGCTTATAAGATATCATTTAAGAGTAGCGTATGAATCGGATCCTGCCCAAGCTCTTCTGCGCGGCAGAGAAAACAACACCTCAAAGAGAAGGCTAGGTAGGTTCGAATTCTCCATCCAACAATACATTGCCTGTTGAAGGTCTGTCTCATGGAACCGTGGTTCATAGTTGTGAGATGCCCGGGAGAAGGTTGTTAACGGAAGAAAAATAGGGAATCAACAGAACCAGATAGGCAAAAGCAGGAAAGGAATTCATAAATTGCCACATAACGAATTGTGCTGTAAAACAGGCCCGAGACTGGAGACCAATATGGTCTCTCCGTTAATCGATGGTAAGTTGAAGGATATGAAAATCGTTGAATCATAACCTACGACGAACCCTCCGAAGGTCCGGGTGCTTACGTAGGTAACTTGCGTAGGGTTTCAGAGTCACGTGGAGTGCATATGGATCCATCCCTTCGCCTTTCCATATCTCAAATACCTTTTAGGGAAATATACTAATTAACATCCCATTCTCATAACAAACATATATAGACATTCTGATGTTGCTAATTGCCACGACAGCGCCAAACCGTGTAAAATGCTCACAGCTCAATGAGAAACTCAACAAGTGGATCATCTCCGCTGGTTGCAGCACATATATCGCGTCGTGTTGAAGATTCGCCGTCCTATTGGCTAGTGCTTCACTAAACTACGGTTATGGCGCTTCATCTCATATCGACCCTAATTATGGATATGGAATTGTTCCTGTGTTGATGGAGCGGAAGGTCTCCCTGAGCATTGGAACAATCACTGCTAAGTTAGACGTCGTTTTAAAATGTGTTTTTTCTCCGCACATGTTGCCGATATGCACCATTATTTGATAAAAATCAGCTACGTTGTGATGAAGGAACACTGAGCCCTTCCTGGTACATCTGTGGATTTTTTTGTTGCCGGAAATTACATCATGGGCCCTGTGAAACGTTCCATTGACAGGGCTCTATGTCTGGGGCTGCTTGGACTGCATCTCCTGGCGTGTGCACCGTCTGAGCGGTGATGTTGTTAATAAACATTGACAAGTTGGTGGGTCCCATATATGGACCCGCAAGGGTGCTCTGTCACTCCTCTGAGGGAATGAGGGAATGTGACACCATGTGAGATCTTGATAGGGCCATATTATTTATCAGCTCAACGCGCTATGATAAGGGGCCATCCATGAGGGGTATGAGCTCGGCATGAGTCTCTGTCTTGAGGGTTTGCTACACTTAAAGACGGCCATACTTCTTATTTCTACCTCTATTTCCATCGTATGTCAACTTGAGTGACATTATACAAATGTCAAGCATGTCTACTTCGGTGGCCGTACTTTCCTTTGGCTCCAATTGCTGGAATGCCGTTCATCTACGGATCGCTGCTGCTGCGGTATTCGTTGTCGTCCTCGTCTCCTCTGCGCTTCTGTTCGTGTTGCGCAAACAGAATTTGAAACAGGATAGCGCAATATACACCTATCTAAAGTTCTTCTATGCAAATTTTGTAAAGCCTCATGATTTCCATGGCGAAGGAGGCCAGCAACTTGCCCTGGAGAGTTTCTATAAAACCCAGGTAGATCGAAGATGCCACACCCTGATTTACTCCAAGTTTCTGAGTGACTCACTGTGTAATAGGCCGCTGTATACGATGCATCTCGCAAACGACTTCTTCGAGGCCGCGAAGATATGCTTGGCCTATTGGCGGCGCAATTGAAATACAAGAAGGAAAAGGGCCAGGGTCTCTTGCGGAAGCCGATATGGGTTGATGTAAGTATTGCGTCATAAAATGGGTTTCACCAGAGGTGCCCTTTGCTTACGGAACAGATTGGTGGAGGTACCGGGTATGCTCGATTATTGATTACGTCTGGTTTAAAATGAGATTTTTTTTTTCTTTTTTTTAACACCACCTAGATACAACATCGAGGCGATGACTGCCTTTCTTCCTGTGGAATCATTTTTTTACCACATCTATCTTGTTGACCTCTCTCCTTCACTCTGCGAGATCGCGCGTCAGAGATTCGTTCGACTTGGTTGGAAGAACATTTCCGTTGTCTGCCAGGATGCGAGAGAGTTTCGTCTCCCAAATGTCATAAGGGATGAACTTCAGAATTCCAAACTCATATCACACTCAGAAAATGGCAAGGCAGATCTGATCACATTGAGCTATAGCCTATCCATGATACCAGGTATATTCCTTCCCGCAGCTCTCTTGCAAAAATTGTAGTTTGTTAACGCGATATTCACTTCAATGTCTAGATTTTTACAACATTGTTGATTCTTTAACTTCTCTATTGAGTCCATTTGGAACTATTGGTGCCTGCGACTTTTACGGTATGTTAATGGAGCCACAGGTACGGGGGCTATACACCCTTTTAACATATGACCAGTGCAGAGTATCGTTGACCTGACATGTCGAAACTACACTGGTGGCGTGTTCAATCGACATGTTAACTGGATTGGAAGAGCATTTTGGAGGGCGTTGTTCGATGCAGATCGCGTTGGGTTGGACGCTGCTCGCCGAGATTATCTCGAATATAGATTCGGGACAATGATATCAGCTAGCGGAAGGAATTATCTTCTTGGTGGTATTCCTTACTACATTTTTATTGGATGCCAAAAGGAGATTTATGCGAGTCAGTTTCATCCTGGCAATAAGGAAGTACTCGAGAAACTCAATGCGGTCTATACGGAATCTCCATATTTGTCTGTAACTAACCATCGCTACGAACCATCGAAAGAGATGAAGCGACAAACAATTGAAATCAGATCTAAAGCTTACGAATCAGCTGTCGTCAACTTGAGCGCGAATTTACCTCTGCCGTCTTCGTTCTATCAAAATCACCATTGGCGGATATATTACAACGATTTACTGAACAAGCATACGCAATTTGGGAATGAGTATATATACGCGTTCACATGGGAGGACCCTCGCGTGGATTACCGGTTGTTGAACATTAGCAGTGATGACGTTATTCTGGCTATAACGAGTGCAGGAGATAATGTCCTGGACTACCTTCAGTACAGTCCGCGAAAAGTACACGCAGTCGACCTCAACCCAACCCAGAATCATTTACTTGAACTCAAGGTCGCGAGTTTTACAGCATTGGGTTACCGCGACTTCTGGAAAATTTTTGGAGAGGGTAAACACTCTGACTTTAGAGAGCTGTTAATCTCGCATCTCAGCCCTCACCTGTCCAGTCAGGCATTCCAATACTGGTTGGACCATGCAAGTGCTATTAGCTCTCCATCCGGGGTTGGTCTGTACGAAACTGGAGGTTCTCGATACGCGCTCAAGATGGTTCGTTACCTGTTTAAAATTTTCGGGCTTTCTGCGGATGTAAAAAAGCTATGTGAAGCCCAAACAACAAATGAACAACGCGAGATATGGCCCCGAATCCGCCGTGTCCTCATGAGTCGACCGGTATACTGGGCTGTGGTGGGCACGGAATGGTTCACCTGGAAGGCAGCAGGAGTTCCTCCGTCGCAAAGAAATATGATCGTCACTGATTTTCTCGAGAGAAGCGGGCTCCCTGGAGGAGTGAGAAAAGTCTCAGAAGTTAGTGGCCAAGCTATCTGGGAGTATGTCGTCAACACTCTGGATCCAGTTGTCAAGGATACTATGATTAGCAACGATAACTACTTTTACTACCTTTGCCTACAAGGTCGATACTCGAGAAGGTAGGAATGAACCTGCGAAACTGTCCATCTGATATGAAAATAAATTACTAAATTCAGTCAGATGCCATCCGAATTATCTAACTCCTAGAGCTCATGTGAGACTCTCCGCACCAAATGCTTTTGATGGGCTCCGAATACACACAGATGAGATCAACGAGGTAGTTACGAGAATCACACCAGGGACCCTAACAATTGTGGTGGTAAGATCGATTCTTATTTACCATTCTCCATGTCACAAATCATTATTTTCTTGTCATTAACCTTACACATTAGATAATG